TGATGATGATGATGATGATGATGATGATGATGATGATGATGATGATGATGATGATGATGATGATGATGATGATGATGATGATGATGATGATGATGATGATGATGATGATGATGATGATGATGATGATGATGATGATGATGATGATGATGATGATGATGATGATGATGATGATGATGATGATGATGATGATGATGATGATGATGATGATGATGATGATGATGATGATGATGATGATGATGATGATGATGATGATGATGATGATGATGGATGATGATGATGATGATGATGATGATGATAGATGATGATGATGATGATGATGATGATGATGATGATGATGATGATGATGATTGATGATGATGATGATGATGATGATGATGATGATGATGATGAGGATGATGATGATGATGATGATGATGATGATGATGATGATGATGATGATGATGATGATGATGATGATGATGATGATGATGATGATGATGATGATGATGATGATGATGATGATGATGATGATGATGATGATGATGATGATGATGATGATGATGATGATGATGATGATGATGATGATGATGATGATGATGATGATGATGATGATGATGATGATGATGATGATGATGATGATGATGATGATGATGATGATGATGATGATGATGATGATGATGATGATGATGATGATGATGATGATGATGATGATGATGATGATGATGATGATGATGATGATGATGATGATGATGATGATGATGATGATGATGATGATGATGATGATGATGATGATGATGATGATGATGATGATGATGATGATGATGATGATGATGATGATGATGATGATGATGATGATGATGATGATGATGATGATGATGATGATGATGATGATGATGATGATGATGATGATGATGATGATGATGATGATGATGATGATGATGATGATGATGATGATGATGATGATGATGATGATGATGATGATGATGATGATGATGATGATGATGATGATGATGATGATGATGATGATGATGATGATGATGATGATGATGATGATGATGATGATGATGATGATGATGATGATGATGATGATGATGATGATGAGAACTGAGAACTGAGAACTGGTGCGAAGCAGCGAGTAGAGTTTGCTCTGTGTAGCTGCATCATTCGTCGTTTTCGGACATGAACTTTTTATTTATCGTTTCGCTCTCTGTACTTTGCCTCTGCAAATTGTTTGTCTAGTAGCATCTTGAATTTAGCCACTGTGTTCGCTTCTACTATATGCTGAGGCAGGTCGTTCCAGACATTCACCACTCTGCGTTCGAAACAGAGTTGATGGGCGACCCGCTTCAAATCCGGGACGATAAGTTTATACCGGTGTCCTCGCGTGCAGCTTGGTGTGCGCAGATGAAGTAGTTGTCTCAACATGGGGTAATCACCCAGATGTAATATCCGGTGCGTCATGATGAGGTCAACCCTCAGCCGACGATAAGATAGGGTGTATAACCCTAGTTTCTTACATCGGTCTTCGTATGGCATACCTCGTAAGTTGGGAATCAGCCTAGTGGCTACATGCTGCACCCGCTCAAGCTTTTCTACTTCGCCCCGGGTGATGGGACAGTATGCGGGAGTGCCGTACTCTAGCATTGGTCGTATTATCGAGACGAAGAGGCGAGTGGCAATCTCTTCGGACCAAGTGCTAAAGCTGCGCCTGAGAGCCCAAAGCATACGAAGGCTGTTTTGGTACAGCCTATTCGTGTTGTCAATGGACTTTAGGTCGCAGCGTGAGAGTACACCGAGGTCGCGCACGAAAGGAGCGGGATGCAACGGTTGTCCAGCCACTGTGTACGTTCGGCCGTGATCACACTTACCCAACCTCATGAATTGCGACTTGGCAGGGTTGATCGGAAGGTTAACCTCTGCAGACCATGTTGAGAGGCGGTCGAGATCCTGCTGAAGTAAATCGCAATCATTGAGTGTGCGGATTACTCTCCACACTTTCAAGTCATCTGCGAACAAAGCACAATGTGATTGTAGTAGCTGAGGCACATCGTTTATATGGATTAGAAACAATATCGGGCCCAGTACAGTGCCTTGGGGCACGCCGCTGCTCGATGGATACCAGTCTGTTAGATGGTTGTCCACCTGGACTCTCCACTTCCGATCAATAAGGAAATTGCTGATCCATTTGTGCAGCGAACCACCAACACCGCACATCCTCAGTCTGTCAAGGAGCACTGCATGGTTAACCTTGTCAAAAGCCTTACTGAAGTCAATGTAAATGACGTCAACCGATTGGCCTTTGTTCAGTGCTTGTAACCATTCGTGCCTCGTCAACAGTAGGTTGGTGATGCACGAACGACCTTTCAGGAAACCATGCTGTGCGGAGGTTAACAGGTTTTTCGACTCGAGAAGTTGCAGAAGGCTCTTCTTCACGATCTTCTCGAGCGTCTTTGCCAAAACTGCCGTCAGGCAGATCGGCCGGTAGTTATCCACTTTGCTTGGGTTACCACCTTTCGGGATAGGCTTTACGACTGAGCATTTCCAGTCGTCCGGTAGTAGACCAGTGGATAGTGACCTGTTAAACAGTTCAGTTACAGAAGGTGCAATTATGGTCGATAATGACTTGAGGATTAGTGGGTGTATACCATCTGGCCCAGCAGGTTTCGTCCCGTCAAGATTTGCTAGAATCTTGCGTACATCCTCAATATTGCAGTCCAGGCTGTTAAGTTCGGCTGGAGCGGTGCTCGTCGAACTCATTACAGACACCTGGTCACTTGCGAATACGGAGGCGAAGTGCGTTGCCAATGCTGACGCACGATCTGTACTCGAGGTTAGAGGCTGTCCTTCTGAGCCTTCTAACACTGGGAATACTAGCTATAGGTCTTAGGCGCCGCTTCACATATGCGAAGATCCTCTTGGGAGCAGTTTTTGCGGCAGTTGCAAGCTCCTCTTCGAAGCTTCTGCGTTTGCTTGTTTTCGCGTTGTTGCAGCGATTTCGTTGTACCTTGTAGGCATTGTAGTCCTCATCAGAGCCAGATAACACGAATTTGTTCCATAGTCTACGTCGCCGTCGGGCCATTTTGTTGTACTCTTTGTCAAACCAATGTGGTTTGACTGGCCCAACTTTCCGAAATTTGAGGGGCACAAATCGGGCGCACAACGATTTCACTCCCTCTTTAATGATAGCCCAACAGGTTTCAATAGATGAATCCTGTGGTAAAGACCAGTCTATCTGGCTCGCTGCTCGAATGAGGCCATTAAAGTCCGCCTTCCAATAGTTGAAGGCTGACTCTAGTGGGAGAGGATACGGTAGCGGTAGTTCTAAACTGCCTATGATCACTGAGTGGTCACTCGCTCCCAGAGGCTCTAAGACTTGAATGTTATGTACACGCTGCTCACAGCTAGTCAACAGCAGGTCTAAGCATGATGGAGTTGCGCGCGCAGTAATGCGTGTCGGTTGGTTGATGTGCTGTGTGGCCCCAGTTTCAAATAGCAACTCCGTAAACTTCCTCTCGACTTCACAGTGGCCGGGGAGAAGTTCAGCTTCAGGCCACTGTATTCGGGGCAAGTTGAAATCGCCCATGAGTAGGAACATCGGACGACTCATGTGGTTGCGGACATGCGGCAACCAGTCCAAACTGCGGCTCAGTGGGCTGCGATATACCACGCCCACGTGCAACTCGCAGCGTCTGAGGTGTATCGAACACCATAACTGCTCACATAGACCATCAGCGCTTTGATAGGCGCTCACTAGTCTCCCACACAAGGAAGACTTTATGTAAAGTAGAACGCCACCGCGATCATTTGATGGTCTATCACAGCGGAAGCATGAAGGATGATGAGATGATAGATGATGATGATGATGATGTTGATGATGATGATGATGATGATGATGATGATGATGATGATGATGATGATGATGATGATGATGATGATGATGATGATGATGATGATGATGATGATGATGATGATGATGATGATGATGATGATGATGATGATGATGATGATGATGATGATGATGATGATGATGATGATGATGATGATGATGATGATGATGATGATGATGATGATGATGATGATGATGATGATGATGATGATGATGATGATGATGATGATGATGATGATGATGATGATGATGATGATGATGATGATGATGATGATGATGATGATGATGATGATGATGATGATGATGATGATGATGATGATGATGATGATGATGATGATGATGATGATGATGATGATGATGATGATGATGATGATGATGATGATGATGATGATGATGATGATGATGAGGATGATGATGATGATGATGATGATGATGATGATGATGATGATGATGATGATGATGATGATGATGATGATGATGATGATGATGATGATGATGATGGATGATGATGATGATGATGATGATGATGATGATGATGATGATGATGATGATGATGATGATGATGATGATGATGATGATGATGATGATGATGATGATGATGATGATGATGATGATGATGATGATGATGTGATGATGATGATGATGATGATGATGATGATGATGATGATGATGATGATGATGATGATGATGATGATGATGATGATGATGATGATGATGATGATGATGATGATGATGATGATGATGATGATGATGATGATGATGATGATGATGATGATGATGATGATGATGATGATGATGATGATGATGATGATGATGATGATGATGATGATGATGATGATGATGATGATGATGATGATGATGATGATGATGATGATGATGATGATGATGATGATGATGATGATGATGATGATGATGATGATGATGATGATGATGATGATGATGATGATGATGATGATGATGATGATGATGATGATGATGATGATGATGATGATGATGATGATGATGATGATGATGATGATGATGATGATGATGATGATGATGATGATGATGATGATGATGATGATGATGATGATGATGATGATGATGATGATGATGATGATGATGATGATGATGATGATGATGATGATGATGATGATGATGATGATGATGATGATGATGATGATGATGATGATGATGATGATGATGATGATGATGATGATGATGATGATGATGATGATGATGATGATGATGATGATGATGATGATGATGATGATGATGATGATGATGATGATGATGATGATGATGATGATGATGATGATGATGATGATGATGATGATGATGATGATGATGATGATGATGATGATGATGATGATGATGATGATGATGATGATGATGATGATGATGATGATGATGATGATGATGATGATGATGATGATGATGATGATGATGATGATGATGATGATGATGATGATGATGATGATGATGATGATGATGATGATGATGATGATGATGATGATGATGATGATGATGATGATGATGATGATGATGATGATGATGATGATGATGATGATGATGATGATGATGATGATGATGATGATGATGATGATGATGATGATGATGATGATGATGATGATGATGATGATGATGATGATGATGATGATGATGATGATGATGATGATGATGATGATGATGATGATGATGATGATGATGATGATGATGATGATGATGATGATGATGATGATGATGATGATGATGATGATGATGATGATGATGATGATGATGATGATGATGATGATGATGATGATGATGATGATGATGATGATGATGATGATGATGATGATGATGATGATGATGATGATGATGATGATGATGATGATGATGATGATGATGATGATGATGATGATGATGATGATGATGATGATGATGATGATGATGATGATGATGATGATGATGATGATGATGATGATGATGATGATGATGATGATGATGATGATGATGATGATGATGATGATGATGATGATGATGATGATGATGATGATCATAATGATGCTGATGATGCTGCTGCTGCGGGTTTTGATGATGATGATGATGATGAAGATGATGGTGGTGATGATGATGATGATGATGATGATGATGATGATGATGATGATGATGATGATGATGATGATGATGATGATGATGATGATGATGATGATGATGATGATGATGATGATGATGATGATGATGATGATGATGATGATGATGATGATGATGATGATGATGATGATGATGATGATGATGATGATGATGATGATGATGATGATGATGATGATGATGATGATGATGATGATGATGATGATGATGATGATGATGATGATGATGATGATGATGATGATGATGATGATGATGATGATGATGATGATGATGATGATGATGATGATGATGATGATGATGATGATGATGATGATGATGATGATGATGATGATGATGATGATGATGATGATGATGATGATGATGATGATGATGATGATGATGATGATGATGATGATGATGATGATGATGATGATGATGATGATGATGATGATGATGATGATGATGATGATGATGATGATGATGATGATGATGATGATGATGATGATGATGATGATGATGATGATGATGATGATGATGATGATGATGATGATGATGATGATGATGATGATGATGATGATGATGATGATGATGATGATGATGATGATGATGATGATGATGATGATGATGATGATGATGATGATGATGATGATGATGATGATGATGATGATGATGATGATGATGATGATGATGATGATGATGATGATGATGATGATGATGATGATGATGATGATGATGATGATGATGATGATGATGATGATGATGATGATGATGATGATGATGATGATGATGATGATGATGATGATGATGATGATGATGATGATGATGATGATGATGATGATGATGATGATGATGATGATGATGATGATGATGATGATGATGATGATGATGATGATGATGATGATGATGATGATGATGATGATGATGATGATGATGATGATGATGATGATGATGATGATGATGATGATGATGATGATGATGATGATGATGATGATGATGATGATGATGATGATGATGATGATGATGATGATGATGATGATGATGATGATGATGATGATGATGATGATGATGATGATGATGATGATGATGATGATGATGATGATGATGATGATGATGATGATGATGATGATGATGATGATGATGATGATGATGATGATGATGATGATGATGATGATGATGATGATGATGATGATGATGATGATGATGATGATGATGATGATGATGATGATGATGATGATGATGATGATGATGATGATGATGTGGATGATGATGATGATGATGACGATGATGATGATGATGATGATGATGATGATGATGATGATGATGATGATGATGATGATGATGATGATGATGATGATGATGATGATGATGATGATGATGATGATGATGATGATGATGATGATGATGATGATGATGATGATGATGATGATGATGATGTGATGATGATGATGATGATGATGATGATGATGATGATGATGATGATGATGATGATGATGATGATGATGATGATGATGATGATGATGATGATGATGATGATGATGATGATGATGATGATGATGATGATGATGATGATGATGATGATGATGATGATGATGATGATGATGATGATGATGATGATGATGATGATGATGATGATGATGATGATGATGATGATGATGATGATGATGATGATGATGATGATGATGATGATGATGATGATGATGATGATGATGATGATGATGATGATGATGATGATGATGATGATGATGATGATGATGATGATGATGATGATGATGATGATGATGATGATGATGATGATGATGATGATGATGATGATGATGATGATGATGATGATGATGATGATGATGATGATGATGATGATGATGATGATGATGATGATGATGATGATGATGATGATGATGATGATGATGATGATGATGATGATGATGATGATGATGATGATGATGATGATGATGATGATGATGATGATGATGATGATGATGATGATGATGATGATGATGATGATGATGATGGTGATGATGATGATAATGATGATGATGATGATGATGATGATGATGATGATGATGATGATGATGATGATGATGATGATGATGATGATGATGATGATGATGATGATGATGATGATGATGATGATGATGATGATGATGATGATGATGATGATGATGATGATGATGATGATGATGATGATGATGATGATGATGATGATGATGATGATGATGATGATGATGATGATGATGATGATGATGATGATGATGATGATGATGATGATGATGATGATGATGATGATGATGATGATGATGATGATGATGATGATGATGATGATGATGATGATGATGATGATGATGATGATGATGATGATGATGATGATGATGATGATGATGATGATGATGATGATGATGATGAGGATGATGAGGATGACGATTATGATGCTGCTGATGCTGCTGCTGAGGGTTTTGATGATTATGATTTTGATGATGATGATGATGATGATGATGATGATGATGATGATGATGATGATGATGATGATGATGATGATGATGATGATGATGATGATGATGTTGATGATGATGTTGATGATGTTGATGTTGATGATGATGATGATGATGATGATGATGATGATGATGATGATGATGATGATGATGATGATGATGATGATGATGATGATGATGATGATGATGATGATGATGATGATGATGATGATGATGATGATGATGATGATGATGATGATGATGATGATGATGATGATGATGATGATGATGATGATGATGATGATGATGATGATGATGATGATGATGATGATGATGATGATGATGATGATGATGATGATGATGATGATGATGATGATGATGATGATGATGATGATGATGATGATGATGATGATGATGATGATGATGATGATGATGATGATGATGATGATGATGATGATGATGATGATGATGATGATGATGATGATGATGATGATGATGATGATGATGATGATGATGATGATGATGATGATGATGATGATGATGATGATGATGATGATGATGATGATGATGATGATGATGATGATGATGATGATGATGATGATGATGATGATGATGATGATGATGATGATGATGATGATGATGATGATGATGATGATGATGATGATGATGATGATGATGATGATGATGATGATGATGATGATGATGATGATGATGATGATGATGATGATGATGATGATGATGATGATGATGATGATGATGATGATGATGATGATGATGATGATGATGATGATGATGATGATGATGATGATGATGATGATGATGATGATGATGATGATGATGATGATGATGATGATGATGATGATGATGATGATGATGATGATGATGATGATGATGATGATGATGATGATGATGATGATGATGATGATGATGATGATGATGATGATGATGATGATGATGATGATGATGATGATGATGATGATGATGATGATGATGATGATGATGATGATGATGATGATGATGATGATGATGATGATGATGATGATGATGATGATGATGATGATGATGATGATGATGATGATGATGATGATGATGATGATGATGATGATGATGATGATGATGATGATGATGATGATGATGATGATGATGATGATGATGATGATGATGATGATGATGATGATGATGATGATGATGATGATGATGATGATGATGATGATGATGATGATGATGATGATGATGATGATGATGATGATGATGATGATGATGATGATGATGATGATGATGATGATGATGATGATGATGATGATGATGATGATGATGATGATGATGATGATGATGATGATGATGATGATGATGATGATGATGATGATGATGATGATGATGATGATGATGATGATGATGATGATGATGATGATGATGATGATGATGATGATGATGATGATGATGATGATGATGATGATGATGATGATGATGATGATGATGATGATGATGATGATGATGATGATGATGATGATGATGATGATGATGATGATGATGATGATGATGATGATGATGATGATGATGATGATGATGATGATGATGATGATGATGATGATGATGATGATGATGATGATGATGATGATGATGATGATGATGATGATGATGATGATGATGATGATGATGATGATGATGATGATGATGATGATGATGATGATGATGATGATGATGATGATGATGATGATGATGATGATGATGATGATGATGATGATGATGATGATGATGATGATGATGATGATGATGATGATGATGATGATGATGATGATGATGATGATGATGATGATGATGATGATGATGATGATGATGATGATGATGATGATGATGATGATGATGATGATGATGATGATGATGATGATGATGATGATGATGATGATGATGATGATGATGATGATGATGATGATGATGATGATGATGATGATGATGATGATGATGATGATGATGATGATGATGATGATGATGATGATGATGATGATGATGATGATGATGATGATGATGATGATGATGATGATGATGATGATGATGATGATGATGATGATGATGATGATGATGATGATGATGATGATGATGATGATGATGATGATGATGATGATGATGATGATGATGATGATGATGATGATGATGATGATGATGATGATGATGATGATGATGATGATGATGATGATGATGATGATGATGATGATGATGATGATGATGATGATGATGATGATGATGATGATGATGATGATGATGATGATGATGATGATGATGATGATGATGATGATGATGATGATGATGATGATGATGATGATGATGATGATGATGATGATGATGATGATGATGATGATGATGATGATGATGATGATGATGATGATGATGATGATGATGATGATGATGATGATGATGATGATGATGATGATGATGATGATGATGATGATGATGATGATGATGATGATGATGATGATGATGATGATGATGATGATGATGATGATGATGATGATGATGATGATGATGATGATGATGATGATGATGATGATGATGATGATGATGATGATGATGATGATGATGATGATGATGATGATGATGATGATGATGATGATGATGATGATGATGATGATGATGATGATGATGATGATGATGATGATGATGATGATGATGATGATGATGATGATGATGATGATGATGATGATGATGATGATGATGATGATGATGATGATGATGATGATGATGATGATGATGATGATGATGATGATGATGATGATGATGATGATGATGATGATGATGATGATGATGATGATGATGATGATGATGATGATGATGATGATGATGATGATGATGATGATGATGATGATGATGATGATGATGATGATGATGATGATGATGATGATGATGATGATGATGATGATGATGATGATGATGATGATGATGATGATGATGATGATGATGATGATGATGATGATGATGATGATGATGATGATGATGATGATGATGATGATGATGATGATGATGATGATGATGATGATGATGATGATGATGATGATGATGATGATGATGATGATGATGATGATGATGATGATGATGATGATGATGATGATGATGATGATGATGATGATGATGATGATGATGATGATGATGATGATGATGATGATGATGATGATGATGATGATGATGATGATGATGATGATGATGATGATGATGATGATGATGATGATGATGATGATGATGATGATGATGATGATGATGATGATGATGATGATGATGATGATGATGATGATGATGATGATGATGATGATGATGATGATGATGATGATGATGATGATGATGATGATGATGATGATGATGATGATGATGATGATGATGATGATGATGATGATGATGATGATGATGATGATGATG